TGACGACGACGCCGGCTCCCTCACCACCTATTTAATCATCTCCTTGGTCTTCGTCTCCCTGCTCTTCCTCGTCTCCACTGCAGCCTTCGTGGCTCGCAGGCTGTGCCAGAGAAAGCAGCTGAAGGCTGGCCACGTGCTTTCCGGGGCCGACAACCTGCCGAGCGGCCTGGCCGATGCAGCTGCTGCGGGCACCCTGCCCCGCCCCTACTGCTACGAGATCAGCCTCACCACGGGCTCGGGCAACAGCGAGTTCAGGTTCCTCAAGCCCTTCGTCCCCAGCCTGCCACCACAGCCCTGTGTCATGGGCGGGGGCACCGGTGAGGAACAGGTTTTCCCTTGTGTCCCTGTCCCCACAGAGGACGTGACCCCAGAGAATGCTGGGCCTGTGTCTGCAGAACAGTTCAATCGTCTTTCGTTTAACTAGCACGGGTCAGCAGAGCCAGAGGCTTTGTGCCTCGTGGTCGGACGGGATGCAGGCTGCAGCCTGTGGGAATGGTTCCTCCTAAATTAATCTGATTTTGCAATTGGCATAACTGATTTCCAGAAATTGTAAGTCAGGGAATGCCCCTGTTCCACGAAATACCAAGAAACAAACAGAATAAAGGGCACTCTCTTAGTCAGACATTTATATGTTTCAGGTCTGTTACAGCCATTCCTAAGAGGCTTTAAGAATGCAGATAGCTCTCCCACCTGAGCTCTTCCCTCTCTTGCTGTCAGACATGACAGTGGACCCTTCAAGGGGACCTGATCTGTAAGTGTATGGCACAGAAAATGAGACAGAAATTTCCTTTTTGAAACTCACAGTAACCTTTTCCCAGCGTAGGAAAGGAAGGAAATTATGGCTGTTGTGCCACAATGCCATGTAAGCACCAAGCTCTTTCTTTCCTGTGTTTAGAATGTGTCTGTCTGACATATATGGACTCTGTGGGCTTTGATTTCAAGGTGTCAGCAGAGCCAGTGACTTCTTTCCTCGTGGTCAGAAGGGATGCAATCTGCAACCGGTGGCACTGGTTCCTCCAGAATAAACCTGTATTTGCAGTTGTCATAACCCATTCCCACAAATTATAGGTCAAGGAATGCTTGTGTTCCACTAAAAACAAACAAGGAAACAGAATAAAGGGAACCAAAGCTCTTTCACTGAGGTTGTAGTAGATTTCAGACCTGATTCAGCCACTTTTGAGGGGCTTTAAGTATGGGGTTAGCAGTCCTAGTGAAGATCATGTCTCTCTTGCTGTCACACAAGACAGTAGACCTTTGATTCTCTTCTGTAACGGAATGGCACAGTTGGGCAGACAAATCTCCTCCTTGTTGAAATGTATAAGGCCTTTTCCCTGCTCAGAAATATTAGGATGATTTGAGTATTGTCATATCGTTGTGTAAGCACAGCACTTTCTTTCTCGGGTTCTGGATGTGTCCAGCTGAGATGTGAGTACCCTCTGTGCTTTGCTTTCTTGTCACTATGTCTGTCTATGCATCACTAGTGCTGCCTGGTCAATTAGGGATTTGCTCCCATTCAGCCTTTCCTTTGTAGGCTGTTCCAACCAGCAGGCAAGGAGGATATTTTGACCCTTTTAATATATCCCTCTCATTTTCTCTATTGCAGAGTAGAGTAGCAAAATGCACAATAAGATCTTCCTTTGGCCCGTAGGAGGGGTTGTGTGTTCTGCCTCCATGAAGTGCAGCAGCACAATCAGTGTTGGCATAGACAGTGACTGTAGAGAGGTGTTAAAACATATTTGTTGTGTTTCAGTTGCATTGCATGAAAACTCCACATGTCCTTCAAAGAGCATTTTCTGAAGGCTCAGCCAGAATGAACTTGTGAAGAGGACATGGACTTTGATGTCCTCAGTGTTGATCCTTAATCGGGAGGCTTCTTGATGAGAGTGGAAAGCAGTCCCTGCATGACTTTCTGGGTTTTTGTGATAACATTTGCATTCTCCTTGTTGTCATTTCTACTTTAACTCACTGAACTGTCTCTGAGCATTTACTTGCCTGTTCCCTTAAAGAAGAACTGACACCCCATCTATCATGACTGACTGCTTGAATGGCGTCTGTGATGCACAGAAATTTCCGAAAGCCTCACGCTGTGTTGTGCTGAAGTTATAGACTGTAACATTGTAAATGAGGATACCCCTGAAAGTAAAAACTGCAGTAATGTCTAAGATTGAAATAAAGAGGGCACCCTAATTCCTTGAGTGGAGACAGAAATCTTGGTAGAATCATTCGTTCTGGAAAGGTCTGTCAAGGTTTTTTAAAAGTCTGGGAGGTTTTTTTGTCAGTGTGTCCTTTGAGTGAGGTAATGTTTAGCTGGTACGTTTGTCTTGAGTTTGGAGATGCAGCCGAGAGAGCGTTCAGTGCCATGTCCCTGCTGTTGCTTCTGTGCTACCACTGCTCCTGACCGGTTTCTTTGTTCAGAGAAGGCAGCAGTGTCCCTCTGGGCTCAGCCTTTGCCTCACGCTATGGTGGGAAACTCCTTGTGCCTCTTTTACCACCACGTTTCTCGAAAGGCAGGCATTCGCGTGCCGGAAGCCAAGAGCTCACAGCTCCCCGCGGGCTGTGGGCAGAGGTGTGCAGAGAAACACACGGGGGACATTCCAGCCATAATTGTCTTATCGTACTCAAGCGGCAGTGCCACACGGCTCAATCCCGATCTTTGCCAGCACTTCCATCCTCGCTTTGATGTGCCCGGGTCCTGCCCTGGTCGCACACGGGAGCGAGTGGCAGCACCGCCCGTGTGCGCGCGTGTCCGTGGGCCGGGGCGAGCGGCAGCGCGGGCAGCGGGCGGCGGCGGGCGCAGTCCCAGCGCGCACCGCTGGGTGGTGGTCTCGGCTAAGGCGCCGCCGACACCTACCCAGCGCAGCCCAGCTCAGCACAGCCAAGCCCAGCCCAGGTCCCAACAGCCGAGCCGGGCCGAGGGAGCAGCGGCTGCGCCACCGAGCCCCGTTCTCTGCCATCCGCTCTCGGGCCAGAGCGGCCGCACTCCGGATTGCCGACCCCACTGGAATACAGAGGGAGAAGGAAGGCACCCGACCGCAGCCGCTTTCGGCAGGCACACCACGAGAGATCCGCCACAAGGAGACAGGACACTGCCGCCGCTGCCGCCGCCGCCGGAGCCGGAGGGCCATGGCGATCGCCAGGCAAGTGCTTTGTGTGTGTGCGTTGCTCTCCCTGCCGCTCGCTCGCTCGCAGCCCATCCGCTACTCCGTAGCCGAGGAGGCGCACAGCGGCTCCCTGGTAGGCAACCTGGCGCAGGACGCGGCGCTGCCGCCGGCGCAGCTCTCGGCTCGCC